AAATTCCTTTAGGTCTGTATCTATCGGACGCCTGCTCCCTACATCGCGCACACCGCAAGCGACCGTATACTGTCACGATTTCACAGACAGCACATCTACTCAGTTGTAAGCTTGTCACGGTCTGTTAGAGCCGACTAGCCAATCCTCCGGATTGGGAAATCTTCCCAATCGGGCCGCCAACCATTTAGCGAATCCTTCGTTTCCTAGAGGGGCTCATAGCTGCTGTCGGGGGGTTCATTTGATCGAGAACTTCCGTTGCGAAATAATTCAGATAATGGTGACTTTCGTTCGCTCTAAATGATTTGTTCCTTGAACTGTTTTGGCCGGTTTGGTGGGGTGGGTGTGCCCCCCCCCCGCCCCCCCCCCCCCCCCCCCCCACCACACACACACACACACACGCACACCCTCCAGCAACCGCACCTAGGAATTAAGTCGATTGGTTCGTTGGTCAGCCACGGAACACCTGCAACAGGGAAAGGGGGGGGAGGGGCAGACGACGGGTTCGGCACTCCACTCTTACCATCATGGCTGCGGGTATGTTGGGGGAGGAGGAGGACAACGGCTGTTGTTGGCGTATGGGTGGGTGGGTGGGGAGGAGGGCTTGGTTGGGCGTTGGCGTATGGTGTGTGTGGGGGGGGGAGGGGGCGGGGAGGGGAGGGGCTTTCTTTGGCAAATTGGTGCCTTTTTCGGGTACAGGTAGGAGGGAGACTGATGGCGGTGATGGAAGGGTGTAGACGCGTGCCAGGGATGCTTTCAGATCATTGATACGGACTCGGTCAATCTCAAGGGTGTGGGCAAGTACCACGCCAAGTGCTTTGTGTGCGTCGAGTGCCGAGGACCGCTGGATGCCGACTTTCACATGAAGGACGGCTCGCTGTACTGCGCCAACCACTTCAACGCCAAGTTTGGGACGCGATGCGCAGCATGCAACCTGTTCCTCTCGACGCAAGTTCTTGCTGCGGGCGAGAAAAAGTACCATCCAGCGTGCTTTGTTTGTGCCTCGTGCAACCAGGCGTTTTCGGACGGGTACGTGGTTCGCGACGACTTGCCGTTTTGCGATTCGACGTGTGCCGAGCGCGGGCCTGTCTGTGCAGAGTGCCGCAAGGAGCTGACGGGAACGATCTCGCGGATAGGCGGGCGGCGGTACCATGTTGCCTGTGTCAAGTGCTCGGTGTGCAAGACGCCGCTCGGCGATGACGAGCTCAAGTCCAAGAACGGCATCCTCTACTGTCCGCCCGACTATAACCTCAAGTTTGGCGAGCACTGCTACGGTTGCTCCAAGTTTCTGGGCGAGGATCGCATCAAGGCCATGGACCACAAGTGGCATCCCGAGTGCTTTGTGTGCACGGCGTGCAAAACCCCGTTTGCCGGCGGCTCGTTTGTGGTTGACTCCAACAAGCCGTACTGCTCCAGCACGTGCGCTGACGCGTGAGCGAGTGGGCAGACTAGCCTTTACGTAAACGTCTCCATCCCTTTCAGCTCAGCTGCGACGAGCCTGCAACGAAGGTGGGAGCGCAACGGCGAGCTCAGAGATGCGCGAGGCCGACGGGGCGAGGACAACAACCGGCTGCTGCTCAACATAATTGCCGCGGGTCGACGCCGACGACCGCGCCTTGGCCGCGTACTGGGTGAGGAGGCCGAGGAGGATGGCGGAACGATCAAAGTGAAGCGAGACGGCGGTGGCAATGCGCGGAGCATAGACAACGAGGTCGACCGGGTCGATGGCTGCCTCGAGGGCAGCGACTACGGCATCCCAGGCGGCGACGCGAGCTAGCGAGTCCCGTGCGCGTGTCGCGAGGACAGCCCGTGCAAAGTGGACGTCAAAGAGAGCCTGACATGCGCCAGCATCCGAGACGGTGGCGGTACGGACCTTGCTGGTGTAGGCCTCGAGGGCGGCAGCCTCGAGGTGGCCGGCAAAGGCGATGACAGCGTTGCGGTGGAGGGCCGAGCCGCCGAGCGCGTCAAGCGCCTCGCAGCCGGCAAAGAGAAAGTGCATAGCGTAGTGCGAGGGGAAGACCGGAAGGCGAGCTTCGGGATGGTCAGGCCACTCGTCGCGGCGGGTGCGTGATGACCAGTCGTCGGCGGCGAGCGCGGATGTGAGCGCGGCAGCGATCGGAGCGAGTGCAGGTGGGGCCCAAGACGCAAGAGCGGCGAGCTGGATGCGGCGTGCGGCAGCATAAAAGGCGCACGACGGGCCGGAGCCGCTCGACGAGGCGAGCGCACGGCGGTGGGCGGCGGCGCGGGCGGCGGTCGAGGCCGGCGCGAGGCCAAGGCCCCCGCTGGGAGTGCCAGCCGTACTTGCGGCTGCGCCCGGCTTGAGAAAGGCAACGGCGGGTAGGGTGAGGCTGGCGCCTGTCTTGGCGGCGGCAGCAAGGGTGAGAAGGTGCCACAGCTTGGGTAGCTCGGCCGAAGCGAGGTCGATGCCGCGGAGGAGGAGCGCGAGGGCAGCGGCGAGGGCGGGGTGACGTCCAAGCGCTGCGTTGGCGGCGTCGAGCTGGGTGTTGAGCGTGGCGTGGACGGTTGCGGCGAGGGCGTCCAGGACCAGCGGCGCAACGCGTGCGGTGTGAACTGCGGGGCTCCAGGCGCCCTGTGCTTGTGGGAAGGCAACGTCGTGGACAGTGGCGAGGAGCTTGGAGACGATGGTGTCAAAGGCGGCAACAGCGGCGGCGGCGGGGGCGGGGGTCACGCCGTTGGCGGCGCGGAGCGTGGAGGTGACAAGGTCCGAGAGCGGCTCTGGGGAGGACGACAGTGCCGCGGCGGGAAGGGCGTCCCACGGCCCGGGCCCGGGCAGCGCAGACTCGCCGATGGTGCGTGCAAGGGCGACGAGGTCGAGCTCGGCCAGACAGTCGGCAATGAGCTCGGCGCCGCGGTCAGCAAACGGCTGGGAGAAGACGGCGTCCCACAGCTCGACGTGCTTGCCAACAACGAGCGAAGCGAGGCGGTCCAGTCGAGAAGCGGGGCGGTATCGTCGGCGGGCGGGACAAGAACGGTGCCGGCGACGACGGCGCCAAGCTCCGGATCAGCGAGAAGGCTGCGGTGGCGGCCGGTGTACGCTGCATCCAGCAGGCGCCAGAGGGCGCGGGTGAGCGAAGCCAGCTGCGGGCCCGAAGCGACCTGGTCGAGGACCTCGACGCCCAGGCTCTGCATCGACTCGGCCCAAGATACCAGCCAGGTGGACAGGGTGGCACGGAGCGAGTCCATGGTGAGCGGGTGGTGGGACCAGGGGCCCGGGCGGGGGCCGTGTGGTGCAGCACGTGCAAAGGTCTGCAGCGCGGCCGGAAGGCGGCCGAGCGCGCGCGAGCGGCCGGCAGCAGCAGCAGCAAGCAGAGGCTGGGCCAGGGCCTCAAAGGCGGCAGGCGCGAGACCGTCCTCAAAGGTGGCCAGCGTCTGGGCGAGAGGCGGAGAGACAGCAGCAAAGACGGCATGGACGAGCCGAAGGCCGTCGTCGAGCACAAGGACAAAGTTGGCGAGGGCGGCGGTGACGTCGGCCTCGGGCAGGACGTCGCCAGCCGGAAGCGCGTCTGCACGTTCGGCGAGCGCCTGTAGGTGGGCCTCTGCAGCGGCAAGGCGCACGGCTAGGAGGTGTTCCAGGGCGCCGTGGAGCGAGGCGCCGGTGAGGACGCAGTGGGCGGCGAGCGCTGAGACGGCCTCGTCGGTCCAGAGCTGGGCGTCATGCGGCGGGTCGAGGAGGGCGCCAAGCGGGAGATCGGCAAGCGCCTCGTGGGCAGCCTTGGCAATGAGCCGTGGAAAGGCCGTAATTGAGTCCCATTGCGAGGCGACAACCGGGAACTTGGCCAGGACCGGCGCGAGCTCGTCCGAGCTGCGCAGATAGCGATGGATGTTCTCAGCGAGGACGTAGCAGCGGGCGGCGCCGGCAAAGTCGTGGACCTCGAGCGCGCCCCAGATGAGCTCGGGCGTGGAGAGAAGAATGGAGGCCAGCAGCGCAACGTCAAGGACAATCTCGTTCGTGCCTCCACTGTGCGCACTGCGGCGAGCGCGCGAGGGGGCCGAGGCCGCCTGCGACTCGGAGGCAGACGAGGCGACAAGCGACTCTGTGGCGGCGGCAGCAGCAGCAGTAAGCGAGACGACGTCAGCCGAGAGGTCGCGCATGGCAACGACCGAGTCTGCAGCCGAGAGCAGATCCATGTATCGGTCCGAGACCAGGAGCTTGAGCTCGTCGGACTTTGCGTCGATGCGGGCGTCCATGTCTGCGGCCATGGCGCGGACCTCGGGCACGGTGGCGGTGACAAACACGTCGACCTCGCCACGGCTGCGTCCCCTGCGCGGGTTGAGACAGATCTAACGGACATGACAGTCGAGGTTTGGTGCGTGGGTACGTGGCGGTGTTGGTGGAGGTAGGGGGTTGGACCGCGGATGCAGCGATCAGGGGGCCCCCCCCCCGGACGCTTTTTTTGTGGGGCCGGTTTTTTT